CCCCAATTCCCCAGCGCTGTTCCCATCCCCCAATTCCCCAATAAAAATCTTAAAAAAAAAAGAAAAGCACTCAGAGAAAACTTCAGTACACAGTGTGACAATTAAGTTTGTGAGATTGTTGCAACGATGTTGCTAATGTTTTTGATATCAGAGGAATTATTCATTAAGAATTTGTACTAACTGTACAAACAGCTAACCAAGTTTGCTATTTGGAAGTGCTGAAAAGGCTGCGTGAAAAGGTTAGACAACCTGAATTTTTCCCCAACAATTTATGGCTCTTGAGTCACAACAATGCACCAGCTCACATGGCACTGTCTGAGAGGGAGTTTTTAGCCAGTAAACAAATAACTGTATTGGAAAACCCTCCCTACTCACCTGATCTGGTCCCTAGTTATTTCTTTCTTTACCCAAAGATACGAGAAATATTCAAAGGAAGACATTTTGATGACATTCAGGACATCAAGGGTAATACAATGACAGCTCTGATGGCCATTCCAGAAAAAGAGTTCCAAAATTGCTTTGAAGGGTGGACTAGGTGTTGGTGTCAGTGCATAGCTTCCCAAGGGGAGTACTTTGAAAATGATCATAGTGATATTCAGCAATGAGGTATGTAGCACTTTTTCTAGGATGAGTTTGCGAACTTAATTGTCCGACCTTTTGTATGGTTGGGTTGCTACAATGGGACCCTAGTAGTTATCTATTCTGGTAAGTTTTCTACAAAAACTCCATCACTTCATTATTTCCAGTGATGTTTCTATAAGACTGTGCTTTAAAATATCCAATATTTTTCCATAGCTTTCAGATTAATCCTCCCCATTATCTACAGAAACCTTAATGACACTCCAATTTTATCTATTAGCCCACATTTATTTTGAATACCTTGAAATTTTCCTGAGAATGCCATTCTATCACTCATTGGTTTTATTTCAATATGCCTCCACTCCCAGCATTGAATATTGTATCCCCATCCAGTCTGGACTGTTTCCTCCAACTATCAATATATTGTTTCTTGCACTGTATATTTATGTTTCTGAGCACTTATTACATTTAGATTTAATTTTCTGTTCACTTGTCTGCTTTCCCTATTATACCATAAGTTACTCAAGATGAGGAATTGTTATAACTGTTACACAGAAAATTTTTATAGTCTCAGGGTCTCCAAGGGCTTGGCATACAGTGTGCAGCATTTTTTTCTTTAAATGAAAGAAGGTAGGAAAGGAAAGAATAAAGAATGGAGGGAAGATAAATCAGTGAGAGTCTGTAGGATTTTCAGGAGAGTGAAGGACATGCTTCTTCTCTAAAGAAACTGAATGAACTGTCTAGCAAAGCCTAAGTTTCTACTATGATTGTTAGTGCCACACTTTATATCCAGCTTCATTTGAAAGGGAAAGTTGCCTGTTCATACATTCCATCCTGGTCTTCCACTCTTAAAATATCCAGACAGATTTCTCACTTCCAGAGAGATCTAATGGAAAACTTATCCTCTTTTAATAACAGTAGAGTTGACCAGCCACCCTTTTCCTTCTTAAAAGCAAGAATTATAAAGTATATTAGAGCACCAGCACATAAAAGAGAATTTTCATGATTAAAAAAAAAAGGAAAAGAAAAAACCCTGTCCCCTCCCCCCAAAAAACTAAATTTAGGAAAAAGAAGACTCCCCTAATTAACATATTTAGATGACTCTGAAAGATATACTCATATACACAAAGTAAGAACAGAATGCTACAAAAAACAGAAATCTCAAGAATCATGTAAGGTTTCATCAGATTACAAAATATGATTGTCAAAATGATAAACAATAGAATGATTTAAAAATGAAGATCTCTTATAACCTAAAACCAAAAAAAAGACAGAAAATACAGAAAAGAGATGACAATTTAGAAATCTTAACATTTAAAGCAGAGAAGTCATGAAAAGATCAGAGGAAATGGAGTGGAAAAAAATAAACTTATTAGTAATACCACATATTTTCCCTAAATTTGAAAGACATAAAGTTTCAGATTGAGAAGGTTCACAGATTGAACAGCAAATAAATGATTAGAAAACACTCATCCCAGAATATCCTAAAATTTCAGCTCCCCCAAATGAAGAAAATATATTAAAAGCTAAAGTCAGGTCATTTTTATGGACTGAAAATCACACTGGAAACAGACTTCTTATTAATGATATTGTTTGCCAGAGACAATGAAGCAATATATTTAAAATAATATTCTCTAAGAAACTAATTTTTAACCTCAGATTTATACCTAGGTAAAATACAGACCTTCTCAGACATGCAAGTATACAGAATATTTATTTCCTATAAACTCAGCTAAAGTCTTTTAAAGTGTGAGTGTAAAATGTGAATGTAAATGGGAGTTTAAAAGAAGAAAAAGAAAGAAAGAAGGGATAAAGAAAACTGAATCTAAACCAAGAAAGAGAGAGAGAAAATAGTTTGATAAAAATAATAGTAAAACATATAAAGAAACTAAGTCAAGACAGATAAAAAGTGTGTATTTTTTTATAAAAAGATTTATAAATGGTTACCATATTTCCATGTTTTGTTTTGTTTTCAATTTCAGGAATATTTTAAGATTTTGAACCCAGTGCAAAGGCTAGGGAAAGTGGAAAACCCTAAATTATTGATAAGACTATATGAAACAGAGGCCATTTCACTCACCCTTTTTCTTCTGCTTTAAATCTTCACAGTCTTTTGAGGGAAAGTTGTTCAACGCTTCTAACATTGTTTCTAACCTTTTTTTTAAAATGATGTGCTCACTTGAGAGATTTTTACATATATCCATGAATAATGGTATATTTCTCTCCCACCGTTCTATTATGCTTCGCTCCCCGTCATGTGCTGTCCTGTTGCTGAAGAAGAGTTGCTGGTAATCTATAATTCATAGCAGATTAATGGCTTTAACACAAAGTCTTCCAATAAATTATATTAGTATCATAATGGTTATTACTTAACAATTTAATAAAATCTTATATTAAAATGATACCTACATATGCATAAAACAGTAAACTTATATACTTTTAAGATTAAAATTAATTGAGATAAAAATAATTTATGTTACTCAATGGAGCACTAGTTTCTTACTTAAGGAAACGACCAAATAAATTGAAGTGCAAAACGAAAAAGATCCACGTGAAGCAGAGATTTCAAAATAAAACATGGTGTAGGGCTGGCCGAGTGGCTCAGTTGGTTAAGAGCTCGCTCAAGAGTTTGAGCTCTGAGCAACAGCAGTTCGAGTCCAGCCCGAGCTGAGCAGCCACTGAGCTGCCAACAGGTAGCAGGATGGCTCAGCTAAAAACAAACAAACAAACAAACAATAAATAAATAAATAAATAAAACATGGTGTAATTTAGTAGTTTATAAAAATGCAAACCACACTTTGAGACTAGGTTGCACTAGAATATATTGGTGACCCTATGTGATGTGAATCTGAGTTTCCGGAACAGATACACCCGTAATTTAAGTATGGAGAATTGGGAAATACCAGCCTCAGAATTTAAAAACATCAAAAGACAGAGATGTTTCTAAAAACTTCAGAAGATTGAGAAAACTTTATAATTTATCAATTTTATGGATTATAATAACACAATCTGGCTTTTCTTGATAGACTGATGGTTACCTGGAAGCCGTGCAACTTAATAGGATCTTTACTTTTTAACTTTTTGAGGACTAAATCAGATAAAATCACAAAAAATGGGCATTCAAGAAATGTTAGCAATTATTGTAATAATTATCCTCTTTTTATTTTCTCGGGATGCCTTTCTACTCGTTGTAGGAGGAAATGGAACAGGGAGAATATTTCCCACTAGTATCCAGGCTTGGAAAGAGATGCTCCCAAAATATGGAGTGCTTAAAAAGGCTTTGTAATTCTCAAATTAATAATTAAGGGATTTTTAAAGAAAAAAATTATTGCAGGGGCTGGGAAGATATTCAAAGAAGAGAAAACATGATCAATATAGCAGAGGATAGAAGCATGAAAGAAAGGCAAAAAGGGTATTAAAACCATAAAGTGTAAAATAAAATGGTACATATATGATCAAATATTCTCCACCAGTCACTTATAAACTGCAAAGAACTGAAAAAGGACTTTGGACACTCTGACCCTGGAAATTCAGGAAAAATGTAACTATAGGATATGTTTGGGGTAAAAATTAAGTGAGTTAATGCATAGGAAAACACTAGTACTCAAAATGTTAAGTAACAGGATGTTATCAGAGAATTTATTTAAATTATTAAATGAAATGTTGATATAAAATAATATCTAGTCTATGATACCAAAGATATTAATGTATGTCTCTATATTTTAATAGCTGTTACCTCCCATTGGTGGATACTAATTGCTTTTACTTTCTTCTCTTCTGCACGTGTATTTTGAAGTTTTGGCAATGCACTTGTATTAGATCTTTATTGAAAAAGACACCTTTTTTTGTTAAATGTGGAACAAACTGCTGATAAGGGAAATTGAGATTTGCCTTCTCTTATAAAGAAACTTCAGCTTTGATATTCAAAAGCCTGCTATTTCCCCTTTGTTTATTCATTTATTTGTTCACTCATTCATTTATTGACTTAACACATTCATTCAACCAAAAAAGACAAAGAATGAGTAAGCCAAAGTCTGTGCCTTTAAGAAGCTTGCAATATATTGGCAGAAACAGACCCTGTCCACCAATTATTATACTAATGCCAGGAACTTTTTAATCAAAGAAATTCTAGAAAAAAAGAATTTATCACTTGGGAGAAATTATCTTTCAAATGATATCATCATGAAGCCAGATCATATTCATCTGAAATTTTGTGATTCCTAGGAGAAAATAGCTGCCTATTAATGAAAAAATGAGAAGAAAAAAAAAAAACACAAGTAATGAAAGTAATGATAAAGGCATTTTGAAAGATGCTTGCAATTAGAATGAGCTAGGCAAGGAGAAAATGTCATGAAAATGGAGAATTTGCTTCAAATAAATTAAATCATCATGAAAACCCTCCGGATATAAATTAAACTTCTGTTGTTGCTTTGACTTTACAGCTTTTAGATAAATAGACTGTACAATACTCTCTTCAGCCTTAGTTACCATTGAGGGAATCTGATATTAAAATATCCTCAAGAGACTGACTAATGTTATGTGGTCACACAGAAATGAAACCTGCTTTCCTCTCCATTTATCTTGCAATTTTATATGAATGTGTCTCAGGACTTGGATTCATTTGTGATGTACCTGATAAAACCAAGGGACAGCCTCAGAGAGAAGTGGAAACTTACTCATTAAGATCAGGGTTCCCAGTCCAGCCAGCACTACCAAATTCAGCATCAGCAAGACGAAAGCAGCAAAGCACCACACTTTTGATGGAACACTATGGCCTGTGAGGAAGTATAGATTCAGGAAGACGACCTGAAGCGACACATTTTATGCTGCTTCCTCTTCCCTTCACCCCTCCACCCCCTGCCCCCCACTGTATAAGAGTATTAACTCTATTTTCTTTCTTTCTTTTTTTTTTTTTGTAATGAAAAAAATTTGCTTGCAAAGTTAAGCAGTCCTGGTTTATATTCAACCAATGTGAATACATCCCTATATTCACATCTAACACTAAAAACACTTAATTAAGTTAACGTGATTATAGGACATTCTGGATATTTTTATACACACTCTTTGGTTTGTAGTCTAGCAGTCTTCTTTTTTCCCCTCCTCCTTTCTTAATCTTGCTTTCGTTAATCTAATCCAATATATATATAAAACAAGTGTATTAATTTAAGTATTGAATTATTTTCATATTTATTGGCTATTTTGCTAGGTATTTTACAGTAACAAAAGTAATGTATTAAAATCTCTGAATTAAATTTATTTCAAATAAAATCTCCTTGAATCTCTAATAATTATTGCTTCATATATTTACCTCATATTTTTGAAACATATAGGTTTATGGTTCATAGATGTCTTTCATAAATCATGTATTTGCTCATTAGATAACATAGTTTTTTTCATAATTTAGTCTAGATTTAATATTTAATGGACTTTTTTCACTTGGTAACTTGAAAGTTTTACTTGTATATCTTTCTCTTTACACTAATTTCTTGCCCATAAACACATATTTTCCTTCTATGTTATGAAATAAGACACCAAGCCTACTCCCTTTACCAAAGTGCTCTAATCATTCACTGCTTCTGTTGCAATAAGATAATATTGATATATAATTACCAATCCCACTGTCCAACCTGAACTTTTATACCTTTATTCTCTGACTTCTTCTCTCTCCCTAACGTTTTACAGTGAGAATTTAGTAAAATTTGCTCTAGGTTATTCTAGATTTTCTCTTGCAATATATTTATTGCAGTGCAAAAATAATTTAGCACTTTTATTATAATTTTTATTATAGTCATTCCATTATCAGCTATTACTTTTTACTTGCCTCTAAAATTTCCCTTATTTTAAGATCTTATTAATTCCTGCGTGTCTGGAAATTTTCTTCAGTATTTTTCTCAGATGGCATGTACGATAAATTTTTATTTTGCTAAAATGGATGAATTATATATTTTCTGAATTTGGGATGAGTAAATGGCAGTTATTTCTTCTCCATGTTTACTCAGTATTAGAAGGTATCTAATTGTCCTTTAATTATTCCCTTGTTTATATATGTTCTTTTTCCTCTTTATGGAATCTTATTATTTGCATATTCAATCACTTAGCCTTATTATCCAAGTCCATCATGATTTTCATATCTCTTTAATTTTGAATAATCGCTTTTGTATAATCTTCCAGGACATTTAATTCGGCCTGTATAATCTTCACTCTCTCTTTTAATTCATTTACTAAAGTTGTTACAGTGAAATTTATGTTATTTCAATTTAAACTTTTGTGATGCCATAATTTAATATCTTAAATGATCTTACTATGTTGGTTGTTTAATTTGGTTATCTTTCTTTTCCAGGGATTATATTTTACTAGGCGCTTACTCTTTGGGATTTATGGCTTTTTCTCCCTCTTCTGGCCTCTGAGTCCCTTGAAATCAGTAGCTGTTTTTATTGGTTTTCCCTTAGTTTTATTTCCTGTTGGATTTGAGATCCAGCTTTGGAGTACTTTGAGATGCATCAAACCTATGAGTGATGGAAAGCTCACTTGTTTTTTTCAAGATGTGTCAATGGCATGCCAGGTGAC